ACATTATCTCTCTTCCTGCAGGATTTTGCTCCAAAGTCACCCCCAGTGAGGTTTGTCCTCACCCTCTGGTTTAAGGTCAAAGCTCACTTTTAATCCTTTCTTTGCTTTATTTTTCTGCAAAGCATTTTCATTTTGTCCCCCCTGGAATGTAATCTTCCTGGGGCATGGGTTTTTGACCGTTTCATTCACTGCTGCATTCCCGGGGTGTAACTAACTGTCCATGGTATGTCTAGGCAATCAATACATATTTGTTGAATGATTAAGTAAGTATGGATTATGTTGACCAACTTCTTGATGTTTGCATAAATGAAATGTATTAACAATGGAAGTATTTGCCTTAAAGGGTAAAAATTTCAAGAGCAATGGAATTAAGGTTGATGTTCAAATACTTTGGTGAACGAATTCCTTAAAATCATGGGGGAAATTAAATGTAACTTGACTAATATACAAGTATTTTTGGAAAAACTCCTCAGAAAACTAAAACAAGGTTTTTCTGTAATTGTAAATTTATCATAAGCTATGTGCCATCTGATTTGCAGGGGGAGATCAGTGCTAATCTATGGAAATGTCTTATTAAATATTTGTTGAATCTAACATTTCAATCTTTAGGCAAAAATATTAGGATTGCCTTTAGATTATTCTAGCAAGATTTATAATAATCTTTTTCTACCAAAGATTCCTTCAAGGGCTCAGGAGATAAATTTCTACTTCTAACAACCCCAAGACAAAGCAGCTGCTCAGATACACTTTTAAGCTCATGTGTTTTATCCTAAACATTTATGAAAAATTTGTAGGTTTTTCCATAATAAACCAGTGTTTATTTTAGTATAAAAATAATACTGCGAATTCATTCCCATCTGCATAAAAGACAATGTTTGCTTCTACCCCACTGGGTTGTTTTGCAAGACACTATTAATGACCATTGACTTCAGAAATTTCTCCTGAATTAAAGAGGCACAGCTCTCCCCGTCAGATTCTACAGCTTGAGTGACAATACTTTGGACACTGGAACTCACAAAAGCATGGCTATGCATGGCGACAGACCTCCTCCTCCATCCCACCCACTACCGCTCCCTAAAGAGAGGTGTCTGGAGTGCAACCAGCAGGTGGTGTTGGGCAGGATTTACAGACTGTGTTGGTAGACATTTCAACACATTCAGCTCCTTCAGAAACATGGAGTCTGAAAAGGCTCTGACATGCCAGCTAGCCATTTTTACGCTTCTGGGAAGATGTGCACTGGGAAGGGAGACAACCGATGTCTGCTTATCACGATCCTGTGATTTCCATTACGTGCACAAGAACCAGGGGTCTGAAAGAACTCGCGGTTCTGACATCCAATTCCCTGCGTCCATCTCTTGGATATCATTTTCGTTGCCAAGACCTTGCCATGGGCTGTAAAACTAATTGTAAGTTTTATCTTCAGTGTGGACTACGAAGGCTCATTGTTGAAAACCAGATCCATTAAATATGCTGTTAAGAGGAATACAGAACCTGTGCATTCCACCCAGATTTTCCGCCTTGGCTGGGATTCTTTTTCTTGATGAAGAAAAATAAACTTATTTTTCTTCAACTTTGAGGTTGGAAGCTCAGACACACCATACCCCCGGTCTGGAAGAACAGGCTTCAAAGTCACTTTGTATGTCACTTTATGTTTTCCTAAAAAGATGAGTATTCAGAGCACAGATTTTTATTGATTGTCATCATCACCATTTTTTCACCATATCAAATATGCTGAGAAACGGGAAAGGCAAGCTCCTTTATGGTGGCTGCTCCCACCTGGTGACGTGACTCTTGCCGAAGGGTTCGGGCTGCTCAGCAGCCGAGGTGTGGACGTCCACATTGTGGTGTTTTGCCCGTCGGTATAGGCTGGTATGTGCAGAATGTTTCAAGATCTCTTTGGAGGACATTAGTATACCCTATAACCGTGTCAATAGGGCATCTTTTCAGCTCGGCTGCTTCTTATTAACCCAGAACTGATTGAGCCCTAGCTAAACGTAGGACTCCTGCACTAATATGTGGGCTTCATCTTCTCGGGCAATTTTGCAAACTGACCTTGAGGGAATCTTCAGGCAGATTTCATGTGCTTGTTTGAGTGTGTTTCATTATCATCCTTATGTAAGATCTCTCTCTCTCTCTTCTGTTGCAAAAAATCCTGATGATTTCCTTTCAAAACTTGGATGATTGGTTTTTAAATATCCATCAGAGCAATGCAGTCACTGCAGTTAAAAGCATGTAGGTGAGAAACCATGGATGGTGTGGGCTTCTTTGCATCTCGGCAATAATAAAAACTGTATTTTTTTTTAATGTTTATTTTTGAGAGAGAGAGAGACAGAGTGCAAGTGCATGAGTGGGGGAAGGGCAGAGACAGAGGGAGGTGGAGCATCCGAAGCAGGTTCCCTGCTATCAGCACAGAGCCTGATGTGGGGCTCGAACCCACAAACCGTGAGATCGTGACCTGAGCCGAAGTCGGACGCCTGACTGAACCATGCAGGTACCCCAAACGGTATTTTAAATAGGCATCTAAGCATAGACTGAAGTGTCTAGTCACTGTCCTGGTTGTAAATAGGGGTGACTACCCCTCTGGATGGCAGGGTGGGGGTTCACGTAGGTCTCAGGCGCTTTGCCACTTGATGATTTCAGGTGTTCTGAATTTCTCTAATTACATTTTTAAAAAAATTCACTTGTGTCACACTTATAATTCACAATTCCTGTTTTCGTCTATGTGTACATGTTCCAAGTTGAACTTAGGATTTTTAAAAAGCCTTGCCAGAAGAATGGATGCCGGCAGTGTTGTGTGGTACCCAAAGGATGAATGAAAAGCAGCCACTGGCGGAGGCTGGTAAGGATTTGCTTTCCGTATTCCTTGTGCTCATGGGGCTTAAGTAACTTCCTCACTGGGAGATGAACGTGGAGGAGAGAGGCCACTCGAGGAGCTGGAAGCCTGGGAAAGGATGGCACGTGACACCCGTGCGGACAGATCAGAGTTCTCTCACAATTACTTAGGAACTAAGAACCTCACTGTGGTTTGCGGTGCCCCCGAGATGGGAATTTTGGACTTGAGCACCAAACCAGTAGTTCTAGATCTCCTGGGGTCCGCTCTGGAGCTGTGTTGGCAGTTCAACTGTAAGAAGTAAATATTCTTTGCCATTTTGAGGAAAAAAAAAAAAAAAGGAAAAATAAAAGAAAGAGGTTGAAACTGAACTACACCTGAACCTACTAACTTTAAAATAATAAATGTGGGGCACCTGAGTGGCTCAGTCAGTTAAGTGTCCCACTCTTGATTTCAGCTCAGGTTTGATCTCATGGTTCTTGAGTTCGAGCCCCGTGTTGGGCTCTGCACTGACGGTGCAGAGCCTGCTTGGAATTCTCTCTCTCCCTCTCTCTCTCTGCCCCTCCCCATCCCCCCCTCTCAAAATACATAAACTTAAAAAAAAAAATAAATGTAATTTCATAAACTTTGACGCTGGGTGAGCTGGCAGTGAGCCTCCAGGGCTGTGCGAGCCCTGGGCTGGTTTGCTGCTCCCATTTTGCATTATTAATTTTTATGGGATTAAAAATACAGGCATCAGTTAAATGGTGCGGGCCACGGGATGCAGTGTGGAAAGATGAAAGAGCTTAGCTCTGTAGTCAAGCCGAGTTCGAATCCTTGCCCCATGTCCATGGATGGAGCATCGCAGCAAGTGACTGAATTTCTAGGAGCCTCTTCCCACACCTGTGACATGGAGACGGTTGGTGTGATGAGGCGTCGTGCACCGTGTTTGTTGAGAAGGACGAGTGGCTGAGTATCCTTCCCTCGTGTTGGCGGTGTGGCCGCTCCCAGAAAGAGACTCGAGTGCTGTGTCCTCACCGCTCTGTGCAGACCGGGCCCCTCAGGCGCTCGCCCCCAGCAAGACCGCCCACAGGCCCGTCAATGCCCGGAATCGGTTCTGGTTCGAGTCAAGGGCCCTGCAGTATTGGGCACAGGGTTTCGAGCGAGGATGGTGCTGAGGAAACCCTGCCTTGCTGATCGTGTTACCTTGGCCCCTGGGACAGTGGTGAAGAATGGACCCCCTGCCACAAAGGAGCGGCCCTGGGGACCAGCAGAGAAAGGTGAGACCCTAAAAGATGGTGACTGTCCTGCGTTCCTGGACAGACTCTGTGACCCCGTTTCAGATGAAGTGTGCAGACCTTCAGGCCTTGCTGAAGTGTGCAGACTTTTGCATGGAAGGCTCCCTCCCTGGACACATGGAGCCCCCGGACTCTAACATGGTCACAGGGATTTGAGGACAGGGGACACAAGTTTTGGACCCACGCTGATTTCAGACCTACTGCCTGAGGGCCACACCTCCTGCCTCAGCAACAGAGAGGTGGTTCTTGGCTCAGGGTCTGGGGTCCTCAGAACGGGATCTCACGTGTAGTGCAGCGGGGACCTGACTGGTCACGCCAGCCCAGCCCCAGGCTCTTCCTGGAGCAGCAGGTGCGAGGTGCTGCCTGTGGTCGGTGGTCGGTGTGCAGAATGAACAAATGTGGAGGTATCTTTTCTTAAATTCATGCCAAATGTCATAAAGCGCTGCTCATGAACTGTGCCTGCTCCCACTCCCACCCCGTGGGGCACTATTATCACCCTGATAATGTCATTTAGAGAAAGTTCAGAATCCTGGGAGTGAATCTCCGGCCCAGCTCTGAGCCGCAGCACTGAACACCTCTAATTTTCCTGTTTCTCTCCCAGGTGATCTAGTCTAAGACTTAAGCTGGCGTTTCACCGCATGGGCACTGCAGACCCCTAGTTACAGTGGTCAGGTGGTGCGCTGAGTCCTGGTCTGTGCCCCCCTCAGAACGCTGCCCACTCCTGCCCGCGGGATGCACCGTGACCCTCTCATTTTGTTTCGGATCTTTGTAACTTTGCTCGCTAAATCTTAAATAGCCGTTGGCCAAAATGGGTACAGTGTGCCCGAGTAAGGACCCATGGGGCGGGCCGATGGGAGGGCGTTGGTGCGCGTCTCCGGGGAGGGTTTTCTTACCACTGAGGAGGGGCCGGTTGTGCCTGTAGGAGGTCGGCAGCTGGCCGATGTCCTCGGTCCGGTGGCTCATCACCCGGGAGAGATGGCCGGTGTGGTGCAGACTCCCCACAATGATGCTGTGCAGGTACACGGGCTCGATGAAGTGGCAGAGCAGCGCGCCCTGCAGTCCCAGCACATTCCACCTGGAAGGAAAGGGCATCAGTGCGGTGCCCCCGAAGGTGGGTACCCTCTGTGCCCCCAGAGCAGCCTCCCTTCCCTCCTCCCCTCCCCATAGGGCACTGGCTGTGAGAGCCCCCCCTCCCCGCCAGCCCTCCACCTGGGGGTGCTGTGCGAACCCCCTCCCCTCCTGCACTCGGCCCCGGGCTGTGGGGGCTGTGACCCCCCATCAAGCAGGCCAAAGGACAAGCTCCTTGGCACACGGACCGGGAGCAACCCCAGCTTAGGCGACTGATGGTTCTGAGCCCCTCAATGCCGTGCGGGGGTCTGATGGGGGGCTCTGCATTTTAATGAACGCGGCTTCCTTTTCTGGAAAATGAGTTGTTAGATGGACTGGAAGCTACATATTCTCTCAGGGACTTGAAATTAGGTTAAAAAAAAAAAAGACAGTGTCCCCAAAGTAAATCTGAATTTTTCTTTACGTGAGCAGGGAAATATCAGAAGGGAGTTTATTTATTTCAGTTTAGGGAAAAATGCTTTCTCCTCCTTTTGTCCTCAGCAGTCAGAATGACCTGTTGTGTGGAAATTAAATGACATTAATAAATGGCCCTGTTTTGCTCTGAGGAAGATTGTGGTTTTAGAAGCCCAGAGCAGACATGAAGGACAAGGCCGCTCTCCTGTGACATAAATATAGCCCCGGGCAGGTGTTTTTGCTTCTGCAAGCAAAGATGACAGCAGCATTTTAAGACTTTTCCCCCTAAACTTGGGTGGTACAAGGTTACATGTATCTGTTTGAGGCAACGGTTTGTGGTTTCCACTGTAAATAACGTGTTTCGAACCCAACCCACCCTCCGTCGGAGGCTGACATTATGCAGCTAATTTCTTACATCATTGTTCTTTTCATTAATTAACATTTCTCCGCTGTTAGAGCAATTACCGTGGTGCCTCCACGCTGTACATTTCTTTTCATGATTAATAAGGAGTCATTATATTTCCCTTTCCTGAAGCAGTCAATTAACACAGAATTCTTTCCATTAATTACCGCATGTTTAAAACCAGCATGCCCTACCTGGAGAGCAATCTGCTCTGAGAACCTGTGACACCAATCGCTTTAAAAAGTTCTCTTTAAATTTTATTCCGAAAACACAAGCAATTTAGCTGGCGATATTAATTTGCCTCAGAAGCATCACAGTGAATGAGAGACATGTTTTAATCTCATGCAAGAAAAGGCAGCCATCTGGCGGGCGGGAACCGAGAGAGCGAGTCTCCTGCTCTCCCCGCAAACGCGGGTCATTAAAGTAATGTGTTCATCTACATAAAACTCAAATGGAATATAAAAGGTAATATTTATATACAAACAATTTAGTCCTACAATTTAAACAGTCATTGGTTTTATGAAACATTTACTTTAGTCTATCAGATTTGCATAACTTCACTTAAAAAATAATTGTGGTCATTTCTGTAAGTCACATCATTTCTTTTAGAAAGGCCTGAAACTGCTGTCCTTTGGAGATATCTGTGTATCTATGTATCTATATATGTATCTATCATCCATCTATTATCTACCTATCAATCTATCCATCTATCAACGTATCCATCATCTATTATCTATCTATGTATCTTTCTATTATCTATCATCTATTTAGCTAGCTATTATCTAATTTTAAAAAGTACATGTGGCAAAGTTCTGAAGGAGCACACATTTCTGAAGGCCGCACATGTACTTCTCATACTTTGTAGGAGTCCCTTCACTTGATGATGTCGCCTCTGCCCAGGCTTCTGTTCCCACCTGACTGTACAAGCGGGCACACCAGCTGGGGCCCTGGGGAGGCTGTCTTTCCCTCACTTTTCACTGATGAATTACAGAATTCCCACAAGATCCCGGAGAGGAGGTACATGAACTTTCCATGGAAGGAACACTGATGTTTTTGAGGGATTGGGTTCCTTCCCTTAAATCTGAGACTGTATTTCTGGGCAGGGCCAAGGACACACCAGAAAGTGAGGACAAGTTCAACAGAGTCACTTCATTTGGGATTTCGAATACCTCCTTCCCAGATTTGAAGGTACGCCAAGAAACAGAGAGACAGCACATGTAGTGAGTAATCCCTTTCACTCTGGAGGTGTGCAATATTTGTGGTTTAAGTGTATGCTTTACTCCTGACCCACGTGTAGGATCTCCTGCTTTGGGAGACGCTCTTGCAGCAAGGGTCACAGACGTAGTAAATCGCAGTTACGAGGCCAGGTCGCCATTGATGGGATGGCAAAGCGCTCCGGGACGCAGGTGGCTGAAGTGGTGTCTTGTTATCTCTCTGACCGCTAGTGAAGTTTGAACATTCCTTATGAATTAAAAGCAGGTAAATGGACATTTCCCCCATTGATAACAAAGTGCTTGCTTGAAATAAGCCAAGTCTTGAACAAGAAAATTAGTACTTCCAGAAGAGACAGCGCTATCCTGTGGGCCATCCAAGTATTGGTGCTGAACAGACTTCTGGAACATATTCAAGTGGTTCTGAGTCTGTGGGATTGTCAAAAAAAACCCAAATACCTTCTATATCTAGTTCCCTCTCAATAACCTTTATAATAAAGAGAAAATCAGCCTTCTTCTTATCTGGCTATAGGAGTTTAAACTCATTCAGCTAACCTGATCAATAATACCAAATGTCTTCCTGAAAATAAACTGGGGAATTTTCAATGTCCAGGATCGAATGAATATACCTCTCCTTTTGTTCAAACAGCTGATATTTCTGCAATGTTGACAGAGAAAAAAAATCCCTTGTCTGGTTTTCAGTATAGATAATCCCTCAATAAATATCTTTTTGTCTGTTTGTCAATCACGGAATACGGAAATACCAGAGATAAGTGGAGGCAGCGCCTTGGGAAAAGCTGCATTTCTTTCACCAGGAGATGTCGTCTCCATGCTCAGTTCAAGTTGTGGCTTCTAAGGACCAGCGGAAACAGTCGCAGGGGTGAGCCCTCTGAGTCCTGGCTCAGGTGGTCACCGCTGGTGTGTGCCTGGCACATGAGACAGGATGGTGATGACTGTTACATACTGTGGACAGTTGGGGTCCTTGCCTACTGTTTTTGCCACCTTGATGTGGCCCCGTGGGGAGATGTAACTCTGTAAAATTACAGTGAGGTCCGTGGTACCGTCTTCAAGTACCATCAGAGACATACACTTACTTGGCATAAAAATAGGCACATAGATCAATGGAACAGGATAGAGGGCCCAGAAATAAACCCATGCTTATACAGTCAATTAATTTACAACAAAGGGTCTAAGAATACACAACGGAGCAAGAACAGTCTCTAATAAATGTGCTGGAAACACTGGAGAGCTACATGCAGAAGAATGAAACCAGACCACTTCCTGACACCATACCCCCAAATCAACTCAAAATGGATTCAAGACCATCTCCTTATGGATCCCGGCCCAGGAGTCCATGAAGGGGAACCCGGTCTCAGCCCACAGTCTGGCCGAGCTCCTAGCGGATCGTCAACACCAGCTGGCCAGCCATGTGAGCGTGCCATCTAAAGGAGGCCCTCTGGCCCCAGGGAGCTGCCCTGGCTGACCCCATGGAGCCCAAATGAGACATCCTCTTGAGCCCCCGTCCCCCACACTGAAGGTCTGCACACAGAACAAATGACTCGTTTGAGGCCACTAGGTTTGGGGGTGGTTGTTACAGACAGTGGACAAGCCTTGTGCAATCCACTGCATTTTCCCAGGTGACCTTGCTCCCAGTAACCCCTCAGGAAGTCTGGTTATGTCATGGCGACCAGGGTAGCCCGGACAGTGCAGGACCGTGTGCAGTGGATGTGGGCTCTGACTGCAGACGTAGGGGACACAGGTGCCCTGGAGGTCAGGTTGGGGTCAGGACGATGTGCCGCTTCTGTGTGTTTTCAGCTGGAAGAAATTCTGCTTCACATGGTGTCTTGTTTCTGTGCTCTGAAACCTACCTGGGAAGTGTCCTCCCTCTCGACATCACATTTCTGGCTCCATCTGCCCCTGACAGACTGGTATACTGTGAACGCTTTCACCAGACAGACAGCAGCTCTGTGACTAGGTCGTTCCATTCTTGGTCCTGACAAGTTCTGCATATGGGGGGCAACGGTCTCTAGGGTGTGTGGGGTTTCTAGTGCCGAACGTGGGCTCTGTGCTGGGGCTCTGGCTGACTCTCAGAGCTGGACTCCATGACCCCCCTTACAGGGGCTGCATTTGGCCCCTTGGCTCCTGGGGGACAAACGTGACATGTTACTTACTCTAGGGAATATCTTTTGTTTCTTTTGTGAAGATGGAAACTGTAAGGTGAAGAAGCTTCCAACACTGCGTGTACCACACAGGCTCTTTCTGCACAGACCTGTGCTCAAGGCTGTTGCTTCTCAAGTCCCTGGGCCCAGTGTCCTTCTCTCAGCCCCATCACCAGGACCCCCAGCACGTCCAGCCAACATCTGTACTATTCATGAGATGTCTGTGGTCTGGCCTGTACTGCCACATTGCCAACACGCTCTTGGTATTGTCTCCTGTGGGCCAACCAGGTCTCTAGCTTGTTTTGCAGAAACTGAGTTTCTCAGCCCTTTTCAGCGTCCTGGGGTAGATGGCTGTGGATGGTGGGTTGATACTCACATGTGTGCCTGCCTTAGCTGTTGTTGCAAAAGCAGTGGAGGCAGCAGACACACAGTGTCCCTGACTGTTGCTCCTACTTCTCTGTTGGATCCATAGTATTGAATTTATCACTAGAGATTAGGTAAGACTGGTGCAGAAGCTATAGTAAGGTTACCACACAATCTCTGGTACAGGAGGTGCGAGAGGATTGTTAAACCAGGCTGCAAGCACTCTGGGGTTGGGTATCTAGGAAGCACCTATTTTACAAGGACCTGTATTCCGAGACTGGAAAATGACCAACACCTCCAGTTGATTTCTGCAGAGCTGGTGAGGCTGGTGAGACTTCAACAAGACGACCGCCATAGGTGGGGGTTGGGGTGGAGCACAGCCATAGATGGGGGGCTGGGGCGGGAAGGGGGGGTGCTG